GACTGTGCATTCAAAAATTGCTGATTCGAATTCCCTGCAGCTTCTGTGTCATGCTTTCTTGTCTCTGTATCTCTGAATAGGCCAGGACTTGAAAATGCCAGTGTCTCCATTCTCTCCATGTGGGATATAAAGTAAGAGGCATCCATGCAGGGAGGTGAGCGAGAGAGCAGTCCCCAAAACCTCTCAAATGGAATTTCTTTTCAAAAAGTAAGAAAGTAGTAAATAAACTAGAGTCTGAACATGAAAGCCAAAGAGAGGAAGATATGAGTATTTCTCTGTCAGGGAACACTGATAAAAACACTCCCCTTGACAGAATCCTGAACCTCTGGATCTACTAGATAGGGGATGATGGGAGCTTTGCTCTTAGAAAGTACTGGGTGCTCGCTGGCATACAAAAGTGCTGGTTTAATTTCATGTAGAAGCCCCACTTGTGTGAGAATTCTTGACCAGCTAGCGACTGTATGGTCTCTGCAGTCCTTGTCCGTACCGTGGTTAATGGCAGTCCTGCAGTGAGTTCAGTGTATGTGCCTTCCAGCCACACACCCCAAGTGCATTGAGGAACAGACCGCCAGCTCTTAGCAAACACGCACAGGACATAGAGGGGCTATGATAATTGCCGTTGGACTCATGTATGTGAATTTGCAAGTTAATACATAGCACATGCCAGCCATGATTCCTTGAGTAGACTACCTCAAAACTCAGCTTCCAGCAGCAGTTTGTGTTATAACTTGACTGATGTAGTCTAGGCTTGCCCTAGCTGATTCCAAGTCTGAGGCATCAGAATGTATGATTTACAAGAACAGGAGCATATGGGAACAGCAGATGGAAATAGACACCCCCCCCCCCAAAAAAAGAAACAGACCTTTGAGGGGTCTCTGCTGAGATACTAGAAATGTCATGTCGTGAGACAATGAAATTCGTGTACTTAATTTTTAAAATTTGTATTTTAAAGCTGGGCAGTGGTGGTCCATGCCTTTAATCCCAGCACATAAGAGTCACTGTGAATCTGTGACCAGCCTTATCTACAGAGTGAGTTTCAGGACAGCCAAGGCTACAAAGAAAAACCCTGTCTTGAAAAAACAAAACAAAACAAAACAAATGTGTTTATCCAGTTACATCTCGTACTTTGGGACAAACTGAACTTGGAGATGAAAAGATTTTTCTGCCATTTGCTTCAAATTTGCTGCAGTGGGAAAGTGAGTGGAGGTCCAAAGAACAAGAAAGGTTTTGTGGGAGTAGAGGCCAGGGGGCTGTTCTGTGTCTGCTTCCCTGGTTGAGCTATGGTGGCCCTATGATAAACTGTGTATTGGATACCAGGCAGCGGTTTGTCTACTTAATATAGTCAGTCCATACTTTCTAAAAGTATCTATCTTAACCCTGGAAATACACATAAGATACATTTGTAAGTCCAAGATGATATTTCAAAAACAGGATCCAAGAGCTGTAATTTTATTTCTCTGCATTATATACTTCAAAGGTAGAACATTTGAGAAGAAATTGGGCTCCCTTTGAATTTTTTTAACTTTTCATTATGTTTATTTGTGTGGTATTTGCACACACAGACCCAGAGGTCAAAGGGCAACTTGTGGGGGTTGACTCTCATGTGCCTGTGGAGTCTGGAGATTGGACTCAGGGAAGCTTGTTTATTTCCTGAGCCATGTCACCAAGCCCTGGCACAACCTGTTACTGCCTTTTTCTTTTCTTTTTCTTTCTTTTTGTGTTGTTTTTTTTGAGACAGGGTTTCCCAGTAGCTATGGAGCCAGTCCTGGAACTAGCTCTGTAGACCAGGCTGGCCTCAAACTCACAGAGATCCACCTGCCTCTGCCTCCCAGGTGTTGGGATTAAAGGCGTGCACCACCATTGCCACCTGGCATAACCTGATTTTAAAACAAATCATTTGTCCATTTGCAGTCAATCTCCATTCCTACTTTGTCCCTAAACAAGCCATGGCCTGCTTTGAATCACTACTCTTGAGTTTTCTACCCGTTCTCAAAGTGGAATGACAAAATTTGAAATCTCTTCAGGCTTCCTTAGTGCCATATTCTTGAGTTCAATGCACACGTTAGGCTGGCCCTGTGGTGGTGCACTTCATGACCGATTAATACTTAAAAAAAAAAAAAAAGCTTCATTCATTCTGTTTATCTGCCCGTATGGGTGTTTGTACTGAGGGATTTAAAAAAAGGAAATATTTTGGAAAAATTGCTGTTTATTGGCCTTTTTTGTTTATGTAAGAAACTTTCAAATTGATTTCTAACATAACTATAATGATTGAATGTCTTGCTTGCAAAGTGATAGGTTTTATGGGGGTTGGGTTTGTTGTGATGGTGGTGGTGGTTTTGTTTTTTCTCCTCTGTTACTTTTAAACTGGGTAGTGGTTGTATTATCTTTTTTGTGGTTTTAATCTGCATTCCTACAATAAATAATATGCTTATTAGACATGTGGTGCCTTTTTGGTGAAGCCTCTTCCAAATTTTGTCTTCTCCTCGCCTTTGGCATTTCTTGAAGTCCTGGTAGAAGGTTGACTGTGTCTCAGCCTCAGAGTCCTTGGCCCCTGCTCCATCAGTTTGATAAAGCAGCCCATGTGGTCTGAGATAGTAATTGCGGACCCTTGGGTCTTCTCTGCCTCATTCATGGGAACTGTGTCATTGCTAATACATCCTTGCTTCCAGTGAGATGCTTTGGGAGCCGCACTGACCATACCTAATCAGTTTTGGTTGCCGTACTATCAGCAGTAGAGCAGGGTTGTAGTGATGGGAAATGCTCAGGTGCTCTAAGTCCTCAGGAGTTGATTTGGATCTACTTTGAACAGCAATTGCCAGGTCCAGGAGGCCCCTGACAGTTCCCCAGAGCCTGGGCAGTGAATGAAACAGCCAGCTGCTCTAGGACGGTCCAGCACCCCCGCTTTCCCAGGTCCCCCGAAGATGAAGGACGCCTCCCCCACCACCAGGTCAGCAAGAAGTAGTCTTGAGAACACAGTGTCCTCATCCCTGCCTCACCTTTCTTAACTCTTCATCTTTTTATAATAAATAATAAGGTAGGGCTGTTAGTATTCAGGCACCTGTACTGGTCTGACCTTGGGGTTCTGGGATGAATCTTCAGCTGCAGCCACTAAGAGCACCTGCTGTGAGCATTTATTCGGTTCCCATTTAAATGGGCCCTGCCCCCACCTTCCATCTTTCTTTCTGTTCTGCTTCTCTGCCTCCCTCCCTCTCTCTCTCTCTCTCTCTCTCTCTCTCTCTCTCTCTCTCTCCCTGTTCCCACAGGCTGGTCTTCTCTCCCCTTCATAAAAGAAAAAACCCTCCACATGAGCTCTGTCACATGGCATCCATCATGGCTATCCATGGCTTTATCATACTCAGTCACTGACATTCACACTGAGAAACCAGTGATTTCCAGATGGACTTCTACCCTTACTCAACAGGGAAGTAACAGCAAGTATTCTCAAATAAATGTCCTGTGTTTGCCACCCTGTTCTTTCCTGCATGGTTTCTTCTATAAGACTTGATCCTGTAATTCCTGCATCCTAAAGCAGAGTACTACAGAAAGTTTTCTTCCTTTTTAGGAAAGCATAGCTAATGCATTGGCCGTTGATTAGTTGTTTTTATTTATTTAGTGAAAGTAGAAGATACCTAAGTGTGTGTATGTGTGTGTGATAATGGTTGTCAGAACGTTATTTTTCCTTTCTCAAAAGAAAAACTTTAGTGTATGGGGCAAGTGTGCATGTCCATCTATGTGCGCATTTGTGTGGAAGCCCGAGGTGAACACTGGGTATCTTCCTCCATCACTGTCTACCTTGTATTTGAGACAAGGTCAGCGATTAGAATAAGACTTGCTATCCAGCAAGCACCAGGGATCTTCCTGGGATTGCAGGAGGATAGCGCTTGTGCCCAGCTTTTAATATGGTTCTGAAGGATTGAATCCAGATCTTCACACTTATGTGGCAAACACATTACTAACTGATACCCCCAGCCTTGTGATACGTATTTTTTAATTTTAAGATGTCTTATGAGCCGGGCGGTGGTGGCGCACGCCTTTAATCCCAGCACTTGGGAGGCAGAGGCAGGCGGATCTCTGTGAGTTCGAGACCAGCCTGGTCTACAAGAGCTAGTTCCAGGACAGGCTCCAAAACCACAGAGAAACCCTGTCTCAAAAAAACAAAACAAAAACAAAAAAAAGATGTCTTATGAACAAGTAATTGCATTCTTTTCTAATGTTGTAAGAATTTTAATAAGAAAATTGTGGGGGGAAAACAGGCAATATAGAAGTCTAATGGGAAATTTTACATGTAGTTGAGATAAAGTATAAGTTCTCGAGAGAAATTTTCATTTAGATACATATGTGGTATCTGAGTGTGCACAGGTATGTGTCAGTGTGTGTACCTGTGGTGCTTAGAGTCCAGAAGAGGGCATCAGATCCCTTAGGGCTGTAAAGAGTTGTTTGCTGAACAGCAGCTTGTTATATGGGCGCTGAGATCTATACTCCAGTCCCCATGACCGCATCGCCGGTGCTCTCAACTTCATTCCGGGAGGTTCCTGTTTGCACCTTTAGTCAGTGTTACCATCTCTCTGCTACAGCCCATATACTCCTAGCCGCAGTATGCCAATCACTGTGGCACAAACCTGTAATCAGGAGACTAAGGCCGGTGTGTATCTATTTCAAAGTTGCCCTGGGCTACACAGACCCTGTTAAGTTGCATGTCGGTAACTATGACAAAAGCATATTGGCACACATTAAGTCCAGGCAGTATAGTAGAAACAAGTAGGAAGAACCCACTTGTTCATTAACTTCTTTGTGTAAAATATATTCAGCACTTAACTAAGGCTCTTGGGAAGTTAGCAAGACAGCTTCCATGTTTCTGTGTTGCTCTCTGTAGATACTTCGACTGACCATGTGGTTTTATCATCTTGGAAAGTTGTCGTACTGAGTTGCACTTATTCTAGGTATACCAGTATGGTAGAGTGTGCCTTCTGAGAGCTCACAAGACACTGGTACTTTACGTATCAGTCCCATTTTAGTATCCCTTTAAAAAGTTTCATTGATGACTCCGAATGTTCAGCCACAAGAGTGGTATCAAAAACTTGCGTGAACTTGTCTAAAAAGTCATAATCAGTGCTGAATCTGAATTTGTTTGCCCAGAGCACCACGGTGCCTGGCTGGGAAAGGTGCACCATGGTAGCCAGAAGCTTATCGAGAAAGTAGTGGTGGTAGACCACATCAGAGGCCAGGACGTAATCGTAATAAAAGTTTGACTTAGGGAACTTCTGGTCCAGGTCTTCCCCCCATACCAGTTCCTTCACTTCAGGTAGATGAGCTGCGCGTTCCAGTGTGTTTTTTAAAAGATTGTATTGAAGATTCCCTAGGACATCAGGCAGATCTGTTGCTGTGACTTGGGCTCCTAAAAGAAAGAGAAATGAAAATGGCCATGCAAACACAATTTCCTTTACTAGAAGACAGACAATGACCATCTGCATCTCTAAACCATGCCTTGGGATAGGCTGAGCAAGCTGATACTATTTAAGCTGGACAATTTTCTCCTGTATTCCTGACCTGTGTTCTTTGTGCACCACATTTGATGTCAATAGCACCCCAATTTGAACCTCTACCCCCACTCATGAATGTCAAAGGGATTTGGTTTCATACCTTTGGACTTTCAACTTCCTTGCCTGAAAACTAAATGAATTGAAGGAGCTGACTAGCTTCTCCAAGACTGGTATCTCTGAATAACTAACGATGCCTGTCACGTGACATTTGGGAATGATTCAATTAAATTGAAGCCAAGTCATACCCGGTCAGCAGTAAGAGATCAGTATTGTCACAGAAGAGATTTCTTTGGAATGGGAACAAGAAGACACATACCTAAAAGACTGGACACGATGGAGACAAGTCCTGGGCCGGCACCGATTTCAAGTATTTTAGCATCTTGGAGATGTAATTCTTCAGTATGGTCTTCCAAATACTGGCACAAAACTGTAGCCTGGAAGACATTAACAACAATTTCCGTTTGGGAATTGGATCACTGGAAGCTAGGAGCAGACCACTGTACCCTTGTAGTTGAACATTATGGTGTAACTCCAAATATGTTCAGCTTAGTAAGTGTTCTCTAAGAACCAAGATAGCCAGCTACTGAGGCTCAGATCTGTAAGCACAACACTGGGGAACTTGAGCCAGCCCAAGCTACTGTATGATTCTGTCTCTTTCCTACATCGAAAAAGAAAGAGAAAATGTGTGGATATTATAGTTCTAGCTGAGGAACTGGAGAAATAGATTAGTCTTGTTGTCTGTGTCAGACCTGACTGATCTCAAAGGAGAAAGAAGGGAAAGGAAGAGAAAGTTGGTCCACTCTTAGAATAAATGGGAACCACGTACTGAAAAACAGCAATTCCTGCCAGCTTTGTCATGTTGGGTCTCTAAGTGCTCTAAGGTAAGTTAAATAAATTTGAGCACCTTTCCCCCAGTTCTCTCATCAAAATTCAGATTAATACGGACTGTGGCCTTGGACAGCTGGCCAATTTGGAGTCCTCCCCCGCTCCCCCTTCCTTCTTCCTCTTAGCTGGTAAACATGGTCAGAATAGTACTTCATGTGTTTAGAGTAGCTGGTTAAAGACGCAGATCTGTAGCTTCTGTGGTTCTGGATGAGTCCTGATGATGCCGGTCTGGACTACAATGAGAGCAAATTCGTTTCTGTGAATGCCATCAAGTGCCCTTTCCATTGCTCATTTATTCTTTTGTTTCTACTTCCCCAACGTTTTCTATAATGAGATAACTCATTGATTCACCAAAGAAGTGTTATTTGCATCAGCTGGGCATGGTGGCACACACCTTTCTTCCCAACACTTAGGAGGCAGAGGCAAGAGGATCCCTGTGAATTTAAGGCTGCTCTGGCCTATGTAGTGAGCCCCAGGACTGCCAGAACCCCCCCCCCCCCCGTATGTGTGAATGGAATGCCACCTAGCAATGCAAGAGAGTAACAAACCCATGCGTACACAGGCCAGGATTGCAGTGTGGGCGTGGAGCTTGGAGATGCAAAGCCGTTGAGCTCAATAGTTTGCACTCTGTGCCCCTGTTGAACAGATATCTGCAAGGATAATAGCAGTTATCTAGGCTTCCAAGGCATACTGGTGGCAGGGGCTAAGGCTTGTAAACCAGTTACAAAATACTGTGGTTTAAGTGGCAGACGCGAGGCATACGCGTGGTACAGGGCAGACTAGAGACCACCGGGAACTCAGTACAGCCTTCCTCCTATGGGAAGAGGTGCACCAGCTGAAGAAAAAGATCCACGTGGCCTGCCAGGTGAGAGTCATGGATGCCAGAGAGCAGCGAGGCGAGGAAGGGGGCTTTGGTTCTTGTGTGGACCTTCAGTATTGAGTATCACCTAGAGTGGCCCAGAAGGCATATTCTGTGTGATTTTGTGAAGATGGCCGAGGCCAGCCTCCCTCTGAGGACACTCTGCCCTCCAATTAGTATTCTTTTGACATTTCAAACCCCCCAGTTCTATCCCTCCAAGCAAACTCTGAAGTAATCTCTCTTCATGGACAGCTGCACCGTAAATCACACAGGAAGTGCCATTTTCTCACTTAGAGATCCCAAGAGAGGCCAGTTTGGTGCACGACAGGCTGAGGCCTTTCTTCTCTCAGTGTTTACCATAACTATAGTTACCTGCTTGTCTGATGTAATAGGAAAGGATTCAGACTTTGGATCAGGGAAAAGACCTTTGCTGGAATAAAGTCATACCCATGTATTAATAGCAAAAGAGCCCCCAGAAGACCTAACTTCTCCCACTTACTACCAATATCCAGGACCACCTGCAGAATCCTCTTCCTGGAACCCTCTTCATGACTACTCAGTGCTCCACAGAGCCACCGTCATGGCTTTCCAGCTTAGAGCCCCTTACCATATCATATGTATTCTTAGACAGCTCTTAGGAAATAATAGTCACAACCTTCCTCCTTCCCCGATTCAGTCTTCACTCAAAATATGCATTTCAGTAAGATCTCAGTATGACTCCAAAGTCTGAGAAATTCTGTGGACCCTTTCTAACCTCCCGGGCAGGCTTGCATTGGGAAGACTGGTAATACTAGACCCTAGAGCACCCCAGAGTTAAGGTTTATACAGCCTATGAACTTACTGAGCCCTTGTCTTCTCAGCTGTGAGGTAGGAATAACGTATGAATAACCAGAGCTAATAGGGGCCTAGGTGCAGTGCCTCCTTAATCTGAACAGGCATGTCAGCAACTCCTTGTTACCATTAGTTCACATTAGAAATAAGGAAACCAAAGAAAAATGGACAAATGTCTGCCCATGACCACCCAACCTGAAGATAATGGACTTCCGTCTGTTTTCACTACTATCCTCACAAGCATGGGAAGCGAGAGGTAGGGAACTGGCTGCTGAGTGTTTCCTCTGAAGTCTCTGCAATTTACCTTGAGAAATAAGTCTGGGATTAATCAATGACTGAGAATGAGGGAACCCCAAAGATGCCTGTTGCCAATTCTAAACTAAAAATTCTTAACTTTTTTTTTTTCATGTAATAGTTGTATGAGTGTTACATCCCATTTCCAATGTGGTCTACTTACATGTCTTGAAATAGTTCAGTAAATATTGTTTAGGGATGGTGCACGTGTCTGTCAGGCTAGGAAGAAGGAAGAGAAAGGATGGGCAGGGAGCAAGAGGAGGAGGGAGATACAGGAAAGGGAGAGGAGGATTTTGTTTCAAAGCCAGTGCTGCTGGAAGAAATATATATCTGCAGCGTCCAAACACAGCCCAAACCCCTGGGGGCCAGGCTGTTAGTCATCAGTCGGAAAAGCACAGAAGTGGGAAGGCACATGGCCAGTTGTCCTAGGCAACACAGATGTATGAAACGTTTTCTCGCCAGAAAGCCCGAGCACAAACAGATGTAGCACTTCTCACCCCTGGCCACACCACCGTGCCAAAGCTCTCAATGGATTCTTGGATGATGATCTTCTTGCCTGCAAACTGATAATGCTCTTGCGTGTAGCTGGCAAAGTCTGTAGGAACAAATTTCTCGATACTACGAAGAGATGACTCTATCTTGTCGGACTCTGTGAAGCAGAAAAAATCAGATGGATCAGTATGATAAAAACAGATGGAACTAGCCGGGCGGTGGTGGCGCACACCTTTAATCCCAGCACTCGGGAGGCAGAGGCAGGCGGATCTCTGTGAGTTCGAGACCAGCCTGGTCTACAAGAGCTAGTTCCAGGACAGGCTCCAAAACCACAGAGAAACCCTGTCTCGAAAAACCAAAAAAAAAAAACAAACCAAACAGACAGAACTTTCTCTGGAGGGCCACCGCCAACAGCTATTGACTGTGTATAGAACACAAAACTGAATTATAACTGGGGTGATGGGGACTGGAATTCACACGCTACACACCCCCATCCCTAAACAATATTTACTGAAGTATTTCAAGACATGTAAGTAGACCACATTGGAAATGGGATGTAACACTCATACAACTATTACATGAAAAAAAAAAAGTTAAGAATTTTTAGTTTAGGGCTGGAGAGATGGCTCAGAGGTTAAGAGCACTGACTGCTCTTCCAAAGGTCCTGAGTTCAATTCCCAGCAACCACATGGTGGCTCACAACCATCTGTAATGAGATCTGGTGTTCTCTTCTGGCCTGCAGGCATGGAGGCTGAACTCTGTGTACATAATAAATAAATCTTAAAAAAAAAACAAAAAGAATTTTTAGTTTAGAATTGGCAACAGGCATCTTTGGGGTTCCCTCATTCTCAGTCACTAATGACAAAGGATGTCCCTTAGGGGGCATCTCCTAGGGAGATCCTTCATTAGGAGAAAACAGAAGAAAGACCTGTTCCATTGTCTTTTGCCACCCAAAGAAACCAGTGTTATCTGGTTGTATGCAAAGTAAGTAGCCTGAGTGAGCTTTCTGAACTTGGCGGAGCTAGATAAAACACATCTGGCTATTTTTAGGTCTTGGGGTGAGGTAGTATTCCCACATGTTGGCAGGAGCACCCTTAAATCCACAACTGTCCCTCAAAGGGCCCAGGGTACCCACAGTTGAATCAGTTCTCCAAGCCTAGGGAAGGCTGTTCGCTGAACTCCAGATATTAAGTTACAACTGCTTTAAATACTTCTTCAGCCCCGTGGACCATGATAGCAGGTCTCAGATGGCCTATAAAATGAGGAAGAGAGCACCTGACGGGTCTGGTACCATGTGACCATGTGATCATAAATCTTCACAGGCTTTCCAGAGCAGTGGGGCAAAGAGTCAGGAAGGAGGATGAGGATGCTGAGCTCATGAACAATATATTGGCCAAGGACTAAAGTGGCACCAATAGAGATTCTGCCTTGGAGTAGAAGGAACATGCGTGGCTCTTGTCTTTGTGTCCTGAGATAAGACTAGGTTTTCACAGAGGAGTAGAATCTGGGCTCTAGGAAATCGATGGGGAAACAATCAATGAACATTTGATGTCCGTCAGAGCACCCACTAAAGGTGGAAGAGGAAGGTGGTGAGCTTGGAAAAAACCCCTACTCAGTGGAGGCGGGCCCTACAGCGACTTCAGGTGTTAGTGATTGTTGCATAGAATTTTAAAAACAAACTAGGGCTCATAGGTTATGTGTCTATATGCGGTTTAATTTTATTTTCTAGAAGTTTGTTCTCTTTTACGATGGTATTAGCATGGGATATATTAGGGACAATTTTGACCACAGTGAGGGTGACTGAGTCTTTTTTTTTTTTTTTTTTTTTTTGGTTTTTCAAGACAGGATTTCTCTGTGGCTTTGGAGCCTGTCCTGGAAATAGCTCTTGTAGACCAGGCTAGTCTCGAACTCACAGAGATCTGCCTGCCTCTGCCTCCCCGAGGGCTGGGATTAAAGGCGTGCGCCACCACCGCCCGGCTTGACTGAGTCATTTGTAAATTAACCTAGGGGAAGCCTTTGGTTCCTCTGGTGATCCCATGGTTGTTAACAAGCAGACAGAGAACACTCAGAGAAGCGAGTGCAGTGGCCAGAAGGCTGAGTTTCAACTGAGTTTTCAGGACTCTACTCATTGAGAGCCAGCAACACAGTCCTGGGGGCCTCCCGGCCACCGGCCACCGTAGACTTGCAAGGGGCAGCCCCACAGCCCTCACAGGGATCTGACAGATAAGGCCCGTCTTTAGGAATGACCAGGAAGGACTGTGAGCTGCTGCTGAATCTGCTTCAGACAAAGAGGAGGCCAAGGAATACAATGGGGGATGTTTCCCTCCCAGTCCCTACAGATTCACAGGGCTTGACAAGGACTCTATAAATACACCCGCCTTGGATGGTGTGTGTTCCTGCGACAGAGATGGAAGTAACACGGAAAGCACGGGTGATATGTGGAAGATGAGTAAAGGTGAGATTTAAGTAGTTTTTACGTTCCTTTATTTCATGTATATGGGTATTTGGCCTTTGTGTATACAGATATGTTTGTGGGAACAGGGCATGGTACAGTTTCTGCAGAGGCCATAGAAGGCATCAAATCTCCAGAACTGGAGTTAAGATGGTTATGAGCATATAAATAGTTCTATGTAAGACCACCCGAAGGTATATAAAAAGAAAAATGTCTGTATTACACTTTAAATATTGATCACTTTAAACATCAGATTTTAGAGACTTTTGTAGTTCTTGAAAACAATATAGGAAAGATACCACCCTTTTTGGCAGAGGTGAAACATTTTTTGTTTTACTTTAAATAGTAGTTTTAAATGACTCATGACATCCTTGGTTATGTCTGTTGCTTATTTGCTTCTGAATCTATGCCCAGATGTAATTCTAAACTTCCACATAGCTCTAAGGGGAAACTACCCTTGACAACGAGCCACCACAGGAGAAATTTGCCAAAAATGCATCTGAGTTAAAAGCAAAAACAAATCTGAAGTCTCATCTGCTCTTGTTTCAAACATTCAGTTCTCTCAGACCTGTACAGATGATAAAACATTGTGGAAATGATAAGTTAACAATGAAAAATAGAAGGTTTGCATAAAGACACTCTTCTGCTACTCCCTATGATAGTTTAAAGAATCCTAGAGTTTAGAGGAAATGCAAATTCTTGTGGCCGGGAAATGCTGTAAGGGCTTACCTACTGAGGGTCCTGCAAAGCCATCCTTCTGTGGAGTCCCCAGACACAAGGGCTGTTGTCCTGTGTGGAGACACTGGTCCATCGCCAGAACCTTCAGAGAGGGAAAAGACACTTCAAATTCAGCCTTGCAGGGTCCAAGAAGGCAGAGCTTATCACCTTAGCATCTGCTGAGTGGAGAAGAGCACTGATTTTCAGCTTGGCTCCTCAGGGAGAAAAAGGTGGCCACCCACGGAGTGAGAGGAGGCACCTATGCTCACAAAGAAATACAAACCAGAGCCGATGCACCTGGGAGCAAATGCTGCTGCGTCTTGTCATGACCCAGCGCTGCGCAGCTCATCGCTGCGTTCTGGAGTTTTAAATATTTCAAATAAGTTTGGAACAGAATTTTTTGATGAAAGCCGGCCCAACATTGGGTGCTGTTGGAGACGCTGTGGGTTAATGGAACCATGGATAAGAAACCCAGCTTGAATCAGACTCTGCGGCTGTGTTGGAACATGGCGGCGGCAAACACTGCACAGCTAGGAGTCTGACCTGGCTCCCCACTTTCAGTGCTTGGCACCTCTTTAATACCTTCACTCACACACAGGAAGATTGATTTGCAACAAGAGAACTGTAGTTGCACCGACAGGCACAAAAGCCGCAGACCTGTTGCACCTGAAAGGGTCTGGGCACTTGATATTTGCTGAGCGACAAAGCAGACCACAGCCATTTGGAGGTCAGTGAGATAAAAACAGAAACAGTACCAGCACCAGGATGGCTTATCCATTCATCAGCTTCAAAATCACGATACTCCCATTGCTCTCCTGCCTCCCTGCTAGGCTGAGGCAAAGGATCACAAGTTCAAGGCCAACCTTGCAACAGAGAGAGGCTCTGTGTCAAAATAGAAAGATTAAGATGTAGCTGAGTGGTAGAACGCCTGACTTCATGCACCAAGCTGGTGTTCAGTCCAGTTAAGATGGAGTTGGGGGAGAGAATCGGGTATAGAGGTGAAGTTTGTGGGCGAAAGCACTGGAAGTTTGAGTGGGACATTCAGCCGCACTCCACACTGTGTCCGGGAGGCTGCCTAGGTCCCCTGTGGCTTTCCTGAAATGACGCCCAATGCTTAGTGTGTGTTAAGTCCACATTGTAATGGTTTCCCGACAAGCCTCTGTGGTTTTCATTGTCTGCGTTTACTATCCCGAGTTTACTGCCACGCTCGAGAGCTTCCCCATGCTGCTGATGCAGCCGCTGGAGGTGGTCACCAGGCATCACTACTGAACTCGCTTCCATTCAACCCTTCTAGCTCATGATCGAGCGGTGAATCCCAGAGGCATTCCAGCTACACAGAGTATATATATATACAGTATATACATATACTCCAGTCTATACAGACTACACATCTGATGAGGTTCTATGAGCCTGGAGGTCATGGGGTTGTGGCGTGGCTGCATGTCCCCGGCATCCCTAGTAAAGGGAGCGTCTAAGAAACTAGACTGCAGTGGGCGGGTGTGACGGGTCATTTCCATCCGCTCTCGCGCCAAGTCATTAAGTAATTGCCTCAGTTCTCCAGTTTTTTTTTTTAAATAGTTTCTGAGAGAAGTTCTCTCTCTTTTTTTTTTATTTATTATGTATACAATATTCTGTCTGTGTGTATGTCTGTAGGCCAGAAGAGGGCACCAGACCTCATTCCAGATGGTTGTGAGCCACCATGTGGTTGCCGGGAATTGAACTCAGGACCTTTGGAAGAGCAGGCAGTGCTCTTAACCACTGAGCCATCTCTCCAGCCCCTCAGTTCTCCAGTTTTACAAGCTAGCCAGGACTGTTCCACCCTTGTGCCTCTCAGGAGCATCCTTGCCCTTGCAGACACTTACTTGTCCTCACTATTAATTCTTCAGCTTTGCAGTGACTTCAGGGAGTGGATGGTTTCCCCTTTAAAAAGCAGCAGGCTGGTGATTGTGCGGTTCCGAAGGGTCCTCGGTGTAGCGAGAAGCCCGTGTTAGAACCTTGGCCCTGTTGTGACACCTACCACACGGGGTTGGAGGACTGAGAGCTGTACTCCCGCAAAGCCTCTCACCCATAACGTCCCCACTGCTGCTACCACCTCCAGGCTATGGAATGGGCACGCAGTAAGGCCCTGGAACAAAGTACCTGTCTGCCACATGGTATGCCATGCATGCAATCTGAGACACTTCTTTATTTCCCAGGCATGGCAGGGAGAACATGAAAAATTCATTTTCCCCAAAGAGAGCTGTGAATTAAAGAAAAAAGAAATCTTGCACAATTACTACATCTACTTCGAGTCTGAGATTAGTTTGACTTAGATTAGTATTTATTATTAACGAATTTTATCTCTCTTAAAGCCATTCCTAGTTAGTGCCTTCCAAACACTCAAAACCTTTTCAAACTGTCAGTTTAAACATGCCTTTACCTTATGCACCAAAGATCTCAGCTCGTGTGGCCTCCAATCTCCAGTGTTTTTTTTTTTTTATAGGCCTGCACTTGAAATGATGAGCTCTTTATGACCAAAAGCCAACCAGTGGGAGTTCAAGTTATTTATAGTATCATTACCCAGGGAATTCACAGACACACTTCCAGACACCCCCCCCCCTCTCCTGTCCCATCCAGCACACTTAGAGCCCTTGCAACATGAAATGGAATGTCCCCCAAAGATCCATAATGTCTAAACAGAGACTAGCTCTGTGGTGTCCTGTTGCTGAGGGCAGGGTGAAATGGAGACTTCTATTTCAGGTCTAGAAAGAAACGGGAGGTCAGTGGAGGAAGGAATGAATGGGGAAAAAAAAAAGCAGGGCACATATGTATGGAAATTCCATAATGAAACTCAGTACTTTGTAGCTAACCTGAAAGAAATGTAATGAAAAATAATAATAATTAAAAAAAAAAAGAAGTGCAGCTTGCGGGGTTGGGATTTCACCAAGTCCTGCAAACACTTCTTGTGGTTCAAGAGGCACTCCGGCCCTGCTGCAGGGCTGCCCAAAATTCTGAGCCTGGATTCCAAGAACAGAAGCCACTGCCCAGAAAAAACGAAAGCGTTTTCCAGGAAGAAAGAACATCTACCCCTAAGAAGGGGTGACAGTTTGAGGTTTAAACTTGTATACAGAGTGTTTGGGAGCGGGAACAGAGGGAATAGAACTTTAGAAAGATTCCTCCTGGGAAAATCTACGGAGAGGAGGAGAAGAAATCCCTGCTCAGAGAGGAAGCTCACTAACTCTGAAATTAGAATCCAGGTCACAAAAAGTAAAGGTGCAGGCAGATGGGACTTAATGAATTACCCAGAGTAAATAGTGATTTAACTTGGGTGCACAGAAAAACCAATGTTTATTTTTCTATCCAATCTTAGTACTCACTACCCTGCCACCATCATTACTACTGTACTTGGTTACATTCTCTGAACTCAAGGTCTTTCACTGGGGTCCTGGGTCCCATGCATGCTAGGTCTTCTTTCTTTCTTTCTTTCTTTTTTTTTTTTTAAAAATGTTTGTTTGTTTGTTTGTTTATTTATTATGCATACAATATTCTGTGTGTATGCCTGAAGGCCAGAAGAGGGCACCAGACCTCATTACAGATGGTTGTGAGCCACCATGTGGTTGCTGGAAATTGAACCCAAGACCTTTGGAAGAGCAGGCAATGCTCTTAACCGCTGAGCCATCTCTCCAGCCCTAGGTCTTCTTTCTTGTGGCGTGAGGATCATAGTGCTGTTTCCTCAACTCTATCAGTCGAACATTCTCTTTCTCCCAGTGAGTCCAATTCTCTGACTACACCTTTATTTCTTACACTTGTTTCTACCAGTTTCCTTCATCTCTAAGAAAACAGTATCAACATGATCATCACAATTTGGTTTAAAAGATTTAGGAAACCTTGGAAAATAGATTACGTGGTATCACACACCTGTAATCTGGTTGAAGGAAAGATCAAAAGTCAGAGGTCAGCCCGAGCAATTTAGGACACTTGATTTCAAAATAAAAATAAAGGGTTTGTGGCTGGAGAGATAGCTCAGAGGTTAAGAGCACCGGCTGTTCTTCCAGAGGTACTGAGTTCAACTCCCAGCAACCACATGTTGGCTCACAACCATCTATAATGAGATCTGGTGCCTTCTTCTGTTGTGCAAGCAGAACAACACTGTATACATAATAAATAAATCTAGAAGAAAGTTTTAAAAAATAAAGGGTTAGAGCTGTTGCTCGGTGGTAGAACCCTTGCCTAGCTTGTAAATTTTAAAACTGACAGCAGTGTATATGGTGTAAATAATAGAGTGTATTCATTCTAAAAGCTTCAACATAAAAATAAGGGAACAAAGAGGAAAATTAAATATACTTAATCCCACCTTCATGAAAAGATAAATCTAGCTAGTATTTTATTTTTGTATTGTTATCATCCATACTTTTTTGATTTTTTTTTTATTACTGTTGGGTTAGCTGATCACTGATATTGACTTTGGGAATATTTGATGCAACAAAGTTCAAGTTCTATTATTGTTTCTGGAAGTAACATTTAGTGCAATCCTCCCATTTTAATATTGTTTGACACTTTAGGCAGTAAATAGTTTTTATCATATAATGTCCTTATAATAGATTTCTTTCTTCCTTCCTTTCTTCCTTCCTTCCTCCTTCCCCTCCCTCCTTCTCTCTTTTTTTGAAAAAAGAAAATAAACTATCTTTTTTTCATTATGCATACCAATCCAAGTTCCTACTCCCTCCCCTCCTCTCATTCCCTCCACATACCCTCCCACCCCACCCCCATCCAATCCTCAGAGAGGCTAAGGCACATTGCTTTGCGGAAGATCCAAGGCCCTCCCTACTATATCTAGGCTGAGCAAGGTATCCATCCAAAGAGAATAGGTTCCCAAAAAGCCAGTACATGCAGTAAGGATAAATCCTGGTGCCACTGCCAGTGGCCCCTCAGTCTGCCCCAGTCATGCAACTGTCAACCACATTCAGAGGGACTAGTTTGTACCTATGCTGGTTCCTTCCCAGTCCAGCTGGAGTTGGTGAGCTCCCATTAGCTCAGGTAGTGGTGGTACCTATCATGGTCTTGACCTCTTTGCTCATATTCTCATTCCTCCCACTCTTCAACTGGACTTTGGCAGCTCAGTCC